GCTCCTAGTAGCGATGCCAGGAGCCCCTAGTAGCGTCCTTGCTCCTATTAGTAAGGTCAGGTCAGTGCATGGTTGGAAGGTCCGGTGGGATCGCCGGGTTGTGATTGCATGACCGTCCAATTGCATGATCAATCGGGATGAGGCGTACAAATCGTACAGCCAAGGCTCTCTGAAAGCTCAAAACATCAGAAGACAGCTGTCTTTGCGAGCACTTGTAGCAAGGACTCAAGGCACGCACACACGCCAGCTGCAAAGTCGCTCCTTCTCAACCACCAACCACCCTGTACTGCGGAGCTTTGCTGTAGTCAAAATCTCTGTGATCGTTCCACGCCTGGCTCTCCTTCCAACGGCAAGTGCGGGCGGTAGTTTGAGGGCAGCTGCTCGCCTGCTGAAAGAATGTCGTTTGCACACAGTCAATTCAATCTGGGCACCTGAGGCGAGCTACACACGGAAGAGGATGGAAAAACATGTTGGAACCGTTGTCCAGAGCGAACCTCACACTGAGCTAGTCAACTGGCTCCAACTGTGGCCCGCGCTGGCCAAGCTCAAGTAGTGCATCCCTGTGCGACGCACCAGGGTGAAGCTCAAGCCCTCGTCACACTCCTCCTGGAGTACAGCCGAAGTGCATCAACCTGGACCCATTGAAATCCTTTGCATCCTTTGGGCATCCTTTTGGTATTCATTGGAGCTCAGAAAGCTGGAGAAAAGGCGGCAACCAAAGAGACTTCCCAACGAAAACCTCAATGTTGGCAAGGGAAACACAGAAAGAAAAAAACTACACATGTATACATATATGTAGTAACTATATAGTATACATTGTATACATACATGTGTGTAATTTCCACCTATCCTCCTAACCTGTGGGTACGGACTCTTCCCGCACGACCACCTGAGGGCGACCCCCGGCTCCGGCTTGGGGAGATGTTGAAGCTCCAAACGCACCGGACGGAGATCGCTCAGCCGCACCCCCTGGGTCGCTTTGCAGCTTTCTCAGCTTTCTCTAGCCACGTCTAGCCACTTTCAGCCCAGCAAATCACCATGATTCATGAGAGTGTGTGTGTGTGTGTTTGTTTTGGAGAGGGCGAGGGTATTCTTTGCGGTGAGAATCATGCCAACACACCTGAACTTTGCCATTGGATTGGAACCGTTACTCACACCTATGAAGCAAGAAGCTTTGTCACAACAACGAAAAAATAAAACAGAAAGTCTCAAATTGCATCCCTCCAAGCCCAAATCACACGTCCACGCACTTGTTCGCCCAAAATGTCCCGGAGCCTTGCTGCACACCGGGCACTTCGAGGCGGCCTTCTTCTCCGCCGCCTGTTGCTGGAGCCGCAGTGCACAGGCCAAGCAGATGACATGCCCACAGGGCGGCGTTCGGATGAGCTCCGGCTCGCCTTGGGACAGGCTGCGGGGAGTCATTCTGGATTCTCATTACCTCAGAAGGTGTTATTCATGTACATTCTTGTGGAAACCACCAAATGTCATGCATTGGTGCTGGATGCTGGGTCCTCCAATCTCTTTGCAAAGGCCTGCTTCTCTTGTCTAGAACAGGAGAAGATGAGATGGAAATATTGAAATATTATGGTTTCTTGCGAACAGTTGAGAAGTCAAGTTCACGGAATTCTGGTAGAGGGCATCCGAACTAAACTGCGAATGTCTACTACGATGTGTTCTTTCATTCTGGAACCTCTGTTGATATCCTGACTGTAAACCGCTGCAAGATCTAAAGGGACAGACTTGTAGCCCAAGCCAATGTCAGTGCCGCAAGGGATTCGACTTCTGTTGTGGCTCTTTATGCTTTCAACTCAAATTGAAGCCACCCGAATCCCAAACCCGGAAACCTTTGATCACACGTCGCATTGAGACATCACCTGTAGAGAGTGCTTCTACACCCCATCTTGGCCACTAAATACTCCATGCAGCTGAATGGCAGGGCTATACAGATCCTATGCTTTGGAGAGGCGATTTTCAGCTGTTGCAAATCGCCAAGACACCCAAGCATATGGGACAGGTGGGCAGCTCTTCCGCCGTCTGCAACGCTCCAGGCAGCTATTGGATTCCAACAGGCCGTGGTCCATGAAAATGTATGGAATATTCATGAAAGCCTTCCTGAAAAAGGGTAGCAGGAGCAATCAAGAACTCCACGATTCTGTCACTTATTAGTTCCAAGATATGATGAGGTTGAGTATGCTGGAAAGGCCAACGGCCCTCTCATCCTTTGGTGGCAACACCGAAGATCGAAATATCTGCTGCACTGACCCTGGCCTCACAGGGCATGTCCACACGCCAGACCTTTACTGACACATGTGGACAGGTCTCAATTTGGGGAGCGGAATTGTCGTTTGCAAGGTTGACGTGTGAACCAACCTCCAGCGCTCCACCCGAAAAAGCAAGCTGCATTCCTATTAAACTGGACCACTGTTGCGGCAAGATGGACCACTGTTTACAAGACATGGTTTGGAACGAGATGCAAGGTCGTAACCTGCATCACTAGTCCTTGCCCTATGAACTATACACTCTCTGACCAGTCAGAGCCACTCGCTCCCATAAGTCCTTGCCCCCCAGAGTTGCCACGGCCGCAGGATCACCTTTGGAGGCGAGGTGAACAAACTTTCACGCGACGAGGAGGAGTTTCACAATCCCTTCCACACGACTCCGCACGACGACAAAAGTCAGTGGAACAGTGGAACATGACTTCCTGTAGTCCGGTCGGTTCATCAATCAAGTGAATTTCACCTTATTGGCGTATGGCCTGCATCGTTATCTTTGGTGGCAGTGCCGAGGGAAATCTGGCCTCGTGCGAGGCTAGCATCCAAGACCAGGCGGCAGGATCCACCTCATTGCTCCGTGAGATCATGTATGGTTTCATGGGCTGATGGAGATTCAGCCACAAACGATCGGTCAACAGTCAAACAGAATCGAGAGTTGATCATGCAGATGGTGGGCCCAACTGTCTTTTCGAACTTTTTGGTGATTTCAGTGACGCACAAACTGAAGGACAATTATTAAACTGTTCAAAGGTACTCTTCACCTGGCGCTGCAGAAACTAGCTGCACTGACTCTTCAGCCTCTTCAGCCTATGCCAATGCAGCTCTGCAAACTCCCTGTCTACCTGGGCTGCCGACGCACGAAATCCCCCTTGGCCACCACCCAGCTGGCGCCACGCCGCACGGGCGCAGAGGCCTGGTGAGCTGGATAAAGATATCGAGCACACAAATCCAAGAACCTATTAGGAACAAGAAGCTAGTAGTAACAAGTGCCACGCTAGTAGGAACAGGTGCCTTACTACTAGTAACAATAAAGCTAGTAGTAACAAGAAGCTAAGTAGAAATAATGCTGTACATGTTCTGCCGAATTGATCCACCACATTGACGCTGGTAAATGAAGAAAGGAGAAATCCGAGAGGTTGATCTTTAGGCGTGTCCTTGCAATGACTTTCTCTGGTCCAAGGGCCTTGGCGGTATAGCCCTTGCTGGCCAAGAGGTGATTTGCAGGGCGCCTGAGGCCGTTTGGATTCACACAATAAACAACCCACAATTGCTGACAATCGCTGTGCACTGGGAATCCCCTGTATTCTTCAGGTCTGCCTCTGACTTCGCACTTCTTTGCTCCCCGCATATTCAAAGGCGGAGCTCTTACCAACACTTCAGTGTCAGAAGACGAGCAAGGCTTAGGCCCTGCCACAAATCGCATGATAAAATGATCCAACGGGTACTTCGAAGCTATGGTCCAAACGCTGACATTGGCTGACCATATCTTCATAAGATACATAAAAGAGTTTCATCTCCATTTTGCACCTTTACTTCCTTCATGGACCTCAAGGTCTCAGTGTCTCTCAGCCAGCATCTGCGCCACGTCCCAGTGTCCATTCTTCTGTGCCAGCTCCAGCGCGGTCAACCCATCCTCCGCCGGCAGATCTTCAGCGCCCGCCTCTAGCAATAGCCGGACAATCTCCTTGGAGTCACAGCTCCGAGAACACTGCGAACTACGAATTCCTGATTTTCGAACAACCAAAAATTTGCGCCCAAAGAACATGAAGCTAGCCCAGTTGGATGTACAAGTAAGCCATGTCCAACAGTTCATGCAAGTCTCCGTGTGGCCATTGAGCGCCGCCCCGTGCAGTGGCGTCTTGCCTCCGCTGGTCCGGGCATCTGTGTGGCACTGAGCCTCCAGCAACGTCCTCACAGCCTCCAGGTGGCCATTCAGGGCCGCCAAGTGCAATGGCGTGGCACCCGCCAAGGTTGGCTTGTCTTTTTCTGCATGCACCTCGAGGGCACAATATCTGAAACATGTGATGAACACGAGATCTGTCTCTCCCTTCGTGAACCCGGGGTGATGCAACCTGCCGCGCGAGCCAAGCAAGGTTTGGCCTGCCATGATTCAGCAGAACTATATACTGTACTCTACACACACTGCACCCAAATTGCCCCCACCATGAAAAAAATCAGAAGATTGAATATTGCGATTCGTGCCTGCAGCAACAAGCGCACGACCTCTGCATGCCCATTCAAGGCCGCCAAGTGCAAGGGCGTGGCTCCGGCCTTCGAGGCTTTGTCTTTCTCTGCGCCCAAGTCGAGTAGGAGACGCACCACCTCCAAATGTCCATTTAAGGCAGCCAAGCGGATCAGAGTCAATCCATTCGGATTAGTCTTGTCCTTGTCAGCACCATTCTCCAGCAACAGCCGAAGCACTTCCAAGTGCCCATTGCTAGCAGCCAAATGCGAGGGTGAAGTGCCTGGACCCGTGTGAAGATGAATGGAAACATGTGCTCAACGCCTTCTGTTTGCGATTTAGGATCACACAGGTCTTTACTGTACTCTTGCAAGGTGGAACGCAAAATATCAAGTCATCATATTCAGAAACCTCTCAGGGGTATACGGTATATCACAAACTCGAACAGTCCAATGATCCCTCATGCACTCTTCGTGCCTTTGACTTCCTCTGTGGCCCCAGCTAAAGCTTCAAGCAGCAAGCTCATGCATTGCACATGGCCCTCTTCTGCAGCAATGTGCAGCGCAGGTCGGCCGTCTTCGTCCCTGCTTGGAAGCAATTGACGTCTGGACGACCTTCCTAAGCCTAACCTATTGACTACAAAAAATTACGGCAAATCAAATCTTCGTTCAGTAGAAGACTCTTGAAGCAATCAAAGAAGTATTCCAACAAATCAAAAACACTGCTCTGGAGCAAACCTGGTGGTGGGGTCTTGGGGCCGTCGCAGCATGGCTTCCAGCTCCTCTGCACGGTTCTCCCGGCAGGCTGCAATGAACTTCTGGTCTGCCTTCTCTTCGGACGGCCAAAAGCTCAAGATCACCAGCTGCCTCAGTGAGGCTCTCAAAGGAAACCAATCAAATGCATAATAACAAAAAGAACAGAGATGAAAAACGGCAGTTAAGGATTTCTATAAAGGGGTCTTAACTTCCTTTTGCGCATTCTTCTGGATTTGGCAGAGGTTTTACTTACTTGCGAAGGGGCATGTTCAAAAATAAGAATGTGACCCCCTAATGAAGACACCCACAGGCAGTGGCTCGACATAGGAAAGAAGCCTTGTAGACCATCAATCAAACAAGCACATGTCAACCTAGCGGCAGTTCTTCAGGCGGGGACAACGAAACTTTGTCATTCAACTCCCCTCTCTCTTGGCAGAAGAGGTGCTGGCGAAACCTGGCGCAAAAAGAAGATAGCCGAACTGTGGACTCCAATATGGACATGAGTTCCTCATCAAAAATAGAATCCGAGTCATACTCTTGAAACAAGCACAACGTCTGGATACCCAAACCCAGACCGTGGATATCTCCCACCTAGGAACTCCCAGCTTCTTGGCCAGCACCCGCTTCAGCGCCCGCACGGTGTTCCCCAAGACTTCCACCTCCTGGCACTCCTCCAAGTCCAAACGCGCCGCCTCCTCTCCCGAGGCGGCGAAGTGCACGCTGATCATCGCCGAGCTGGAGAGCACTCGATCCATAGGTCTCCGGGCCAAGATGCAGTGGGAGCGGCATGAAAAATGGAAGCGATAGCGAAACTACAACCGTCATGTTGTCAAAGTTTACGGCGTGGAGGCATGTTTTTTGCATCGCTTGAAGAAAGAGAAACAAAAAGAAATAAAGAAAGAAAGAAAGACGAAAGCGCCGCTTGAGCATCCGGGCCAGGCTTCACTCCTCTTGCTTGCCTTCGCCTGCAAGCTACGTTCTGGATAGTGCGCATGTCCTCCATGGAGTGCACACCTTTAAAAGGAGAGCATCCTTGAGATCTATCTGCTTGTAATTTGCTTTAGATTTGCGTGCTAAGTGTCTGCAGCACTACTGAAGAGCTGAAGAACTGCATGCTTGGTTGGATGTACCAAGGTGCTGCGACTAGTACCGATGTCGCAAAGCTTCTAAACAACGGAGCAAACAGATTCTCAGCAGAAAAATGACACATCATCTTGACCAATGATTGACGCACTGGAGAAAACGAAAGGAAAGCAAAGGAGCGAAAGGTCTAAAATAGAATAGAAAAACAAAGTATATAAATAAACGATTTCCCAGCTCAAGGCGGTTCACGGCCTTCGGCCCCTTGGGTGCCACCTTGGGCGCGGGCACTTGGGCCCGGGGCTTCCCACAAGCCTCACAGACATCCTCGGCAGAAAGTGCAGTGCGAAGCCGGAAAAGAGGGCTGCTGAGCATCAACATCCAAACAAATTCTTTGAAGCCTTCCAAAGAAACAAACATGTTTGATGGAGCCTTTCAAAGAAGCTAACATTCCCATGATTCCTTCACCATGCATGAATCACAAGATGTTCACCTCCCGGTATGTCGACTGTCACTGTCAACAATCACCCCCCTTTCTGACCAGTGGCAACGCCATCCGCGTTCTGCAGAGTACACTTCCTGAGATCGGTAAGTTCAGCTCCCATACCCAAGACATTCGAGAATGGAAAGTAAGTGATCTACAGGTACCGACAACCTGTCCGTGTCACCGCATGTGCGACAACGATATCCACAATCAAAAATCCTCAGAATGCGAGCTCTCAACCTTTCTCAGGTGATGAGCAGCAAAAGACTTTAGTCTTAGTTTCTGTGTCAAAACATTCTATTCCATTCAACAAACTACAGACTGACCAGCCTTGGTCGATGTTCCTATTCAAACAAGCTAGTTGTACTATTGATCCATTGACAGCTTCTCTCAATGTTGTAAAGCCTGCCAAACTGATCCTCCTTCATTTTCACAAACAGTGTTCTCCACCCAGCCACTGACATACCCAGCTGCCGGGCCTGCAATGGAAAAGAAACGAAGCACCCATGCCAAGCGTGCATATGATGGGATCTTGTCCACTAGGGCAATTCTCTGCATGGGTGACCACTGAGGTTTGACGAGCAAGCAACACCAGCCCACAAAAGCTTCTCCCTTGGCCGTGCCTTCCCTTCTCGCAGATTTCACAACACTCGGCGTTCACCGAGTTTTCAAAGGTGCAGGCAGGGCAGGCCCAGGTGTCCATGCGCCGGGAAACGAGCCGGCAACTGTTGCTTTTGGGGTGATCCCAAAGGGAAATTGCTGCTATGATGAAGCCGGAGCCCCGTATGATGTGTCAATAAAACAGACATCTTGACCTATACACAAATGGATCAATAATGCACATGTAGGAAAAAATGCAGACAATGAATGCACACAAACAATAGGATTCGGCAAAACCAACTGGTAGAGTGGTAAACATCTCAACAACCTTATGTGTACCGGACATATTGGATTATCCCTTGTCTTGTAGGCACGATAGACTACTATTTGCATCTCTTTGCATCCAACCTGCGACTTGGCAAAGAAGCATACACTGAGACCTGTGGGACCATCCTGCTTGCTGGTTTGCCGCATCGGAGCTGAGAACTCATAAAATGGTTCCAACAGACTCAAAACTTGCTGTCACTGTGAACACCATGGCAACACATGAAAGTATATAAGTTAAGCTGCGTTCAGTATCATTTGGCATGTCCACAAACAAATCTTAGAATATTTGCTAGACTTCTTGATGCTACTCAGCTCTCCAACATCCTGTCACAATTTTCCCCTGTTCTGCGGCTCCTTCAGACACAAAATGGCCACAGGCGAGTCAGACTGATTTCAGGCAAGGCTACCGTTGCATTCGACTGAGGCTGTGTGAGAAAGATCTATACAGAAGCATGTTATGATCAAACTCAATCGTCCTACACACCGACGAGTCTACCCTCGGTTCCCTTGTGGGAGTCCTTCACCTAGTGACTGCGGACTTGGTACTCCTAAATCCCACGCAAAGTCCCTTTCAGATCCAGAATCCATGGCAGCAAATCCATCGGAAACCATCATATCCTAGTAGGTTCCTTTTGCTATTAGGTTGGAGGCCATCGAGAAGAACAGTCAACCTCAACATCTCCCCAACGCCTGGCCGCTCCTTAGGCCAGGCAAGCGACGGATCCTTCCCTCATTTCAGCGCCTTGAACGTGGAAATGCCCGGCACAGCAGGATCGCCTCCAGATTGGCCAGGCGGCTGGATTGGGCCAGTGCGATGGGTATAATATTTGGATTGAAAATAAATGTCTGAAGGAAAATATGGGAACTGTGCCTGTGCAGTCAAATACTTTGTAGCATGGTTTCAATATAGACAAATTTGGGTTTCAAGGTTCAAGGAAAGTGTAATATTCAGCCAGTCCGCAAGTAGAATGCGAATGTATCTCAGACAAGGGCACCCGAAACGCAGTGATGTGGATCGAGGTTGTCCTTACACAGCCACCTGCAAAAACATTTAGCGGAGAAATCAGCCTCTGCTCCAAATCAAAATAGTTGGAACTGGAAGCCCATCACTGAATCACAGGTCGGTATGCTGCTTTGCCCCTCTATTCCAAAAAAAATGGTCAAACGATGTCCAACCTCCGTATGGCCCACCAAGAGCATCGTTTCCCTCGGCCTTCCTTCCGCCGCTTTGGCGAAGCCTCTGGCACTGGCTGCGTCACCTGCCACAAGGGCTCTGCCATCGTGTCATCGCGTGTCATCGCATTCGTCATGGTTTTCGGCGCTCAAGACCTGCAGGTGTTGCTGTCATTCCTAGGGCTTCGCTACTAGGAGCAAGGAGGCTACTAGTAGCTCCTGGCCTTACTAC